TTTTTTGTATTTTAGTAAAGACATGGTTTCACCATGTTGCCCAGGCTGGTCTCAAACTTCCAAGCTCAACTGATCCACCTGCCTCAGCCTCCCAAAGTGCTGGGATTACAGGCATAAGCTACCGCACCTGGCCAGCATAATTTTTAATTGCACTGGGAAACCAAAAAATTTGTGAGACTCACTTTATTATGATAATTGCTTAATTGTGTTGGTCTGGAACGGAACATGCAATATCTCTGAGATATGTCTATATATTTGTGACCAATAATAGTCTATTGTGTACCTTTTTTAACTTGTTACATTTTGCTAATTATTCTATATCCATAAACACAAATTTACTTAATTTTAAAAGCACAGGCTGGGCACAGTGGCTCACACCTATATTCCCAACACTTTGAGAGGCCAAGGCAGGCCGATCACCTGAGGTCAGGAGTTTGAGACCAGCCTGGCAAACATGGTGAAACCCCATCTCTACTAAAGATATAAAAATTAGCCAGGCCAAGGTCATGCCACTGCACTACAGCCTGGGTGACAGAGCAAGACTCCGACTCAAAAAAAAAAAAAGCACACCATTCCATTATATATAAAACACATATTATATTGATTATACTAATATTAATATATAACATATGCCATGCTTTACTAATAAGTAACATTCAGTTGTTTTCAATATTTTGCTATTTAAGCATTATACCACAATGTAATAATCCTATATATGCTTTTTTATGTCTATTGTCAGTAGTATATCTGGAGTGTAAGTTCCTAGAGTTTTTTTAAATTTTCACAGATATGGTCAGATTGCTCTCTTGTTTTGTTTTGTTTTTTGAGACAGAGTTCCAATCTTGTTGCCAGGCTGGAGTGCAAGGCATAATCTCGGCTCACTGCAACCTCAACCTCCCAGGTTCAAGCAACTCTCCTGCCTCAGCCTCTCAAGTAGCTGGGATTATAGGTGTGTACCACCACACTCAGCTAATCTTGTATTTTTTTAGTAGAGACGGAGCTTCACCATGTTGGTCAGGCTGGTCTCAATCTCCTGACCTCAAGTGATCTGCCCACCTCGGCCTGCTAAAGTGCTGGGATTACAGGTATGAGCCACCATGACCAGCCCAGATTGCTCTCTTAAAAGGTTATACTAATTTATACTTTTAAACAAAGAGAGCATCTGTTTCTGCATATCCTTACCAACACAATCACTTATTAAAATTTTAATGATAACCAATATGATACAAACCTTGGTAGCTGCACAAAGAACATCGGAGATCTGAGGACAATCGCCCTTGAGTCATCTTCAGAGTACTACTCATCAGTGCATGTGTGAGAAAACTAGCTATGGCCAGAGAAAAAAGCACCTGAAAGTATTAGAACAGTAGCCAGGGCTCACACAAGGCCAGAAAGAGTGTTTGTTCCCACACCTAGACTATAAAAACCTCAAAATCTGTAGGGCACTACATGTGGTACAGAGAAAGGTCCTGTCTTGGTAATGTAGAATCATTAGCCCTAGACTAAAAGCTCAGGTCCCACTTGACAAATTCCGTAAGCAAGATCCAAAGGGGTCTTGTCTTGGTAATGTAGAATCATTAGCCCTAGACTAAAAGCTCAGGTCCCACTTAACAAATTCCGTAAGCAAGATCCAAAGGGGTCTTGTCTTGGTAATGTAGAATCATTAGCCCTAGACTAAAAGCTCAGGTCCCACTT